CCTTCCTGTCTGTATATCTGTTAAACTGTTATACATTTCAGAGTACATTACTTGACTGTTAAAAAGATAGTTAAATAGTTTATCAAATTAACTTATAAAATACTGTAATTATAACCAATCAAAAATTATTTTATTGCTTATATATCTATTAGATTTAAGCTGATTTGCATATTTCAAATAAAGCACTTTATTTTTAGTTTTAGTGTGATAGCACTGCATGCTACCAATATTATTAAATAAGAAATTGTTTGAAACCTTGACTTACTAGCTGATCTTAAAAATAAACTTAAAAAATTTTTGTTTTAAAAACTACATTGGAATTTCAGATATTAATATTGATAATGCAAAGCTATATAGAAAAATTCTTAATAAAAATCTTTAAAAAGATATATTGATAAAAAAATAAAACATATTTAATAATAAATATTCTATATAAGTTTAACTGCTTGTTTATGACACAAAAAATAATTTTTGTACTGTTTCATTTTGAAAAATGTATAAGTAAATACTAATGTAATGTAAAGGTTAAAAATATAAATGAATCTATTGAGGGTATAATTCTATAAAAATAGAAATAAGTAGAAATATAACAGAGATAGCTTTATTTTTCATTGAAAACTAAAACTATTAATCATCTATATTAAGTTAAATGAAATATTCACAACATGAAATTATTTATAATCCTGAAATGAACTAGTTTTAGTGGTTTTGGTCAAGATAAATGTTTTTTTTTGTACTCTAATTTATATAAAAGAAGTATCAAAGTAAATTTTTGGTGAATAAATGAGGTATTTTCAAATTCGTGAAAAAAAGACAGTTTATTCAATAAGTAATTTATTACAATCATTATTTACGTCATCAAATTTCATATAGTTTGGAGTGAATTCTGATAAATTAAATTCATACTGTTTACATAACTACTATACTATACTACGTGCGTATATAAATTTAATTATTTATATAAAAATGATTTCTATTTATTATCAGAATTCAAATTAACTTTATTCATCAAAATGGTAGTAACATTCTTTGAAAAACTTTCAAGCAATTATCTTAAAATTTTTAGTGAAAAAGATTTTGACGTAATTATTAAAACGAAAGAATCTTCATTTACTGTACATTCAATTATTTTAAGAAATAGGTCTTTATATTTTCTTGATACATTAGCGAAAATTGATGAAGATAAAACTAACATTAAAAGTATTGATTTAAGTCATGTCCCTACCCGACAATTTGAAGTTATTATCAAGTAAGTTATTTACAATTTTAATAGTCTTTTACATATCTTGCTTTAAAAAACAAAGACAAATTTATTTTAATAAAGGTACATTTATGGAGGAATTATTTTGCTGGAAGATTATGATACATCATTTATTTTTGAGCTCTTGTTGATCTCTTACGAATTTCTTTTAGAAGAAAACTAATGCTAATTGGCTTCGTTCACATTTAGCACACGTCTATATAAAATGTCAACAAAATAATAAACCTCAAAAATTATATAAATGGTGTAATGATATTATGGCAAAGCATCCAAACTTGATCTTTAATTCAGAAGGTTTTACCTCGTTATCGGAAACTACATTAATTTCACTTCTCAGACGAGATGATTTACAAATGGAAGAAGGAAAAATCTGGAATTATGTCATCAAATGGGGAATAGCTAAAAATTCTAACTTATTACCTGATCCCAAGAAATGGTCTCATGAAAATTTTCAAACCTTAAGGGATACTTTACAAAATTGTTTACCTCTCATTCGTTATTTTCAAATTTCTAATGAAGATATTATTGATAATGTGATGCCATATAAAAAAATTCTTGAAAAGAAAGTTTGGAATGATATCATTATAAAGTTTCTTACACCAGATCGTCCTGTATCAACAGTAATCCTTCCCGCTCGTTCACCATTTTCAACTGTAATTAATCGAGAGCACGCTGCAGAAATAGAATCCATTAACCGAGAGCAAGCTGCAGAAATAGAATCCATTAATCGAGAGCAAGCTGAAGAAATAGAATCCATTAATCGAGAGCAAGCTGAAGAAATAGAATCCTTTAATCGAGAGCAAACTACAGAAATAGCTTGTGAAAGTCGTGATGATATTAATACCTACTCGTTTTGGAAATTACCTTATTAATAAACAAATATTATTGTAGTTACTAAGGTTAAAAACACTGATGAGATTCTTGGTGAATATGATCCTATTTGTTGAAATAAATCAATTCATAATTGGATGACTTGTAAAGAAACTTTTATTTTTTTCATTAAAAAATGGATCTATTAAATATTCTAAGTCATGTAAAATCCACAGCATGTAATTGGAACTCATTTCGGTTGTGGTGTACAAATTGGTCTTGAAGCAGGTTTTTATACTTGTGGTCATTTTGATTGTTATCACATTTCGTATGAAAAGAGCAATTCGAAATATAGATGGTCCGTTTTCAGTATCAGAATGCAGTTCATAGTCTTATAAATTGATCATTTAATATAGAATTAAAAAGGTACTTATGTTTAAACGTAATACAGTAATTTGTTTGTTGTGAGTTGATTATACGACAAAAAACAAATGCTTAATAAAGTTTACCGCAAAAGAATCTTTTTTATGTACCCTCTTTATGGATGAATATTTTTTTTCTTAGTCTATATGAATATCATAGTTTTATGTACAATTTTGTTCATTTAACATAGGTTGTCATTTATTTGATTGTCATTATTTGATTTACAATCGTATACAAGAAATATGCTACGACCATATATATTATATGAGTATCAAGGTAGATATGGCCTTATGGTTTACTAGGTTCATCGTTGTTATAATTATGTCATTTCAAGGTATTTTGATATTCAAATTTATGTATTCTAATTTGAAGGATAACACTTTATTAAAGATATATGGTTTATTGGCATATATCATAAAGCCTTAATACAATTGGAACGAAGAGTGTCTAAGAAATTTACATGAAAGAATTATCGTTATATCGAGCAAAATATGAAGAAATTAGTATTTATGATTGATAAAAATTTTTTAAGGTGGCTGTTCTGTAAATAAAATTTAAATTGTATAATCACAAAATAATAGCAGTTATGTATCAAAGATTTTTAAAAAATTTCTATACGTATTTCAAGTTCATAAACAAGTTATCACGTGGACGTCTGATGGCTGAAGAGGCTGTGCTTATTGTATATGTAGGATGAAAGACTAAGCCAAAACGTTAAAGCCACATTCAAAATACATACGTATGTTGTACGTTCTTATTAAATATTAACACTACGTAAATGTTATGTAACATAATCATTATCATATAAAACATTTATGATTCAGTATGATTATTCTATTATGCATATGTCAAAATAGTAGTAACAAAAGTTATTAAGTATATGTGCAAGAATTTGTATATCTTTGAAATTCTTGTTCTTGTTACTTTTTAAACTGCGGTAATTTTTTAAAAAAAAATTTTTTACAAAAAGAAGCATGGAAGAAGAAGAGGAACAAGTACCTGCATCAACATCTCAGTCCCAACAATCTCAAGAACCTCAACAATCACAGTCTCAATCTCAAGATATTACAATTCCTCAAACAGGCCCTGGTGGTCGAGAAATAGCAGCAGCTCATGAACCGACACATCCTTCTCATCGTGAAACATCGCTATTATCAGGAGGAATTGGAACACCATTCCCATATACCCCATATACACCATATACCATGGAAACTCAACAAGATACTCGAGTGAATGTAGAAGATACATCGAATATTTATGATGCAGGATATGATAATTGGTTAATGGGATCAACACTTACACCTTATAATAATAGAGGTGGTAGAACTACAAGACCACAACGTCGAATAGTTAGAAGAGATATATGTATGAAAATTTTTTGGATTTTTAATGCTTTAGCAAATCTCAGTATTATGATTGGATGTGGGTTTTTGGTATATTATTACATACATGTAAGTTAATATCATTTAATTTTATTTAATTTACAGTAAAAGTATACATATATAATTTTTTTAAAATTTTACTAATACATCTCATTTTCAGAGTTCTATACAATCTATTTATGAAATAGTTGCGAAATATGTGATTATTACATACCTTGTCTTAGAGGTTTTTTTTCGAATACTTAATGCTTTTCAATTATATGATTTTACAGAAGGGAAATTTAAATTATATGAAGGAATTTTAATATTATTATGTAAGTTTTTTTTTTTAACTTTTAATTTGATTTATTATTTAATTATCAGTTAAACATATATAGACTAATAAATAATAATATTATTATTAGTTAAGAAAGAAGGTTATATTCTTTTTGGAAGAGTTAGATTAACAGATGATCAAATTACTAAATTAGCCAACGCAGCAGACAGCACGTGCTTCATAATAATGGTATTATTCACACTACACTTTTGGTTAGTAGTGAAAGAATCAAATCCAATTTTTGCCACTGAAAGCAGATCACGTAAAATGGAAATTTATTTGGCTACCCCAATTATATACATTACATTCATGCGTATATGGCTTTATAAAGCTGATCTTCTACCTCCGGTTCAACCACCAGAAGCAGATACAACATTAACTACAGCTACAGGAGGTCGTAGATTAGGTGTAAGAGTCGAGAATTACGAAACTTATTATAGAATGGAAGGAAATAATTGTTGCGATAAGTGTGTTTATGGATGTTGCATGTTATGCGATAGGTGTTGTGGTTCAACATATAATTTATGTTGTAGTTGTTATGAATGGGATTATGTTCAATGTGATTGTGGAATATGTGATTGTAATGGTATTATTGCAGGCTGTTGTGGAAGTTTTTTTAATGTTTTATACGTATCTTTTAATAAATTTTGGTTATTGGATTAATGTATCTTGTTTGATTGTCCGAAACGTAGCAAGGACTTACTATAGACATAAAATGTCTTGGGTTTCGCTCACGTGATATATATCCAATCAGTGTTTAAATCAATATAACAGATTGACACGACAAAATGGAAAATCCGTAAAATTAATTAGCTTCGGAAACCTAGTTTTATTTCTTAGTATAATGGTAATTATCTTGATCAAGTGGATTCTGTGCCAGGTTATGCCGAAGTTTTCTGAATTTTTTTTTTAAACTTTGAGCGACATCCACATATACATGTGTGCCATCTTAATAAAAAAGTAATTCCGCCATTTCGGCAGCCGAAATTAGTCTTACATAGTGCCGAAATTAATTTTCATATTTGCCGAAATTATTTTGAACTCTTTTTATCAAAATATATCATATAGTATAGTCATTTCAATGGGTTTCATATAAAAAAATTTAGCAATGCCGAAATGTTTGCCGAAAATACTTTTTTTCAAAAATAATTTTGGCACACATGTATACACCCGTTCAAAGGTTTAGAAAAATTTGATGTAGCTTCTATTTTAATAGACGTTTTTAAACCTTTGAGTAAAGATATCTCTACAATCATCTGACCAAATTAGATAAAAAAAAAACTTATCGAATTTGGTCAGGAATACCTTCGTTCAAATTTTTAGAAAACATTTGGCGCATCTATTCTGATATCTGGTTTGATTTTTTTAAAAAACTTTTAAATGAAAATATCTCGACAATTACCTGACCAAATTAGATAAAAAAAAAACCAAATTATTTGAATTCTATAGATTTGTTGAATTTAAAATAAAAAAATTCATCGAATTTGGTTAGGTGGTTGTCGAGATAACTTCGTTCAAAGTTTAAAAAATTTTCAAGAAACTTGTTTATTTTTACGAAAAATTGCAGCAAAAAATTTTAAGTAGAATGTATATGTTGTGCCTCAGACTAACGCTTGCCTCAGATGTCGATCGGCCTAAATTAGATTAGGGTTAGGGTAAAAGTTTGAGAGAATTGGGGTATAATTTAGGCCAATCATGTCGATAAGTTAATGCTGGCCAAAAAATCGATATCTGAGGCAAGTGTTAGTCCGAGGAACAACATATATATACTATAAATTTATCCAGAATTTTCATTGGATAATGTCCAAATAAATTTTAGAACATTATGACATTTGGTTATTTGATCATTTGGGCTTACCTAATTTTTTCAAATAATTTTTTGGACCTTTATGTTCTTTAAATTTAATTATTGTTACGGATGATGCTAAAGTTTGAGCGTCTCAATTTGAAAATACAAACCTTATCAAAATCTGACACCTAAATTTTTTTTTTAAAAAAAGAAGCTAACTAAAAAGGTTCCAAAAAATTTTAAAAATCGCATATGAAATAAGAATAGATTCAAAAACTTTAGCGTAATCTGCGACAATTTAGAAACCGTTTAAGAAAGTTGCACAGTACACTAAAAACACTTACGGAAAAGAATTTTTGTTTTCACTCTTCTCTTTTTTGATTCCTTTAAGAGAATAAGTGCAATGTAAACCATTGAATTAAATTAGTCTAGCCTTGGCACGTGAATATCTGAATTATTTTAACCTTGGTACAAAATACAGTATTATCTAAATATTCAACATAAGCTTTCGAATTCATTTTGTTTGCTTTAATTTAATCAATAGTGTTTATTAATAAAGGTATTTATTCAATTTCCATGCATTTAAATATAGTGTTATATGAATATCATACGTATAATACGATTGATAACTACAAAGATTCTTATAGAAAATGTGCTTATTGTAACGGGACGAATATAACACGTATAAAAACATGTGATCCTTATATAAAAATTTAATAACAATTTAGAAATAGATATGAAGTGTGAATTTGCTTGAAATGTTTAAAATAAATTTGATGAATAGAATGAAAGCATGAAAGGTAAGGTAAGGTAAGGTAAGGTATAAATGAAATTAATAAACAACCACTGATTTTATATATACTAGCGAATCATCAGCGTACAAATAATATTGGCAACTAAAAAAAAAAAATAGAAATCTCAATCCCAGAACGTGGGTTTAAGAGGTAGTAGTATATGTATTACAGATATCAACTCTTGTGTTTATCACACGTGACACCCAAATTATCAAAAGTGCTTTCTCAATAAACTGTGTATACAAAAATGATAACTACTTGGCTCTTGTTATGAGATTTTAATAGGAACTGACGTAGGAAGTCAGTACAACAATGTGAAATATTAAAATTCTTAGCAAAGATGCTGATAAGATTAATTTCACCAATTCAATCACAGTTTTTTAAAAATCCCGCGCGGAATTCACGGATTGTTACCGGGATTACTGTAAATTTCGGCCGGAATTATGCACTGGCCCGAATTATCCATAACATCACGTGATGAAGCACCAATTCCCATCAGAGGTGATTTCACTCCAGGTTGCTCCAGATTGCTTCAAATTTAAAGATAAAAGTTTAAACCCACTCCAACTTGGGCCATCACTACCAATTAATGATGTCTAATTTCACTAGCATCACTAACGTCTTTAATCCTTATTCATAATAAATCTTATATATTTATTTAACTTACAACAATCTTACAATAATAGTAATTTTAATAAGTATTTTGATTTTTTTTTGCATAAAAATTTAATATTTAAAATACATATTCTAATCAATTAAATTAATATAATATATCACGATAATAAATATAAAAAAATAAAAAGGTAGTTAATAAGAGTCATCAATACGAGCTTTTCTAGCAAAGTATCTATGATAAAATCCGAGTGATCTATTTTCATATGCTTCTTTCTCAAAATCACATAATAAATCATCATATTCTTTAGTGGATAAACCCAAATGTTTCTGAATATAAACAATTCCTTCGCAAGCTCTTCGAATATTAGCCATTGCCTATGAAAATGAAATAAGACGATATAGGATTTAGTTAAAATTTAGAAAGGAATAGAAAATATTATATTAACAAGAATCGTTGTTTACTTACAAATTTACCAAGACATCCACTCCAATCGCCTAATGGATATTCGACATCAATATATTGTAAATCTCTAAGCTCATTTATTGAATTGAAGAACTTTGGTATCATTGCTTGAATATTAATATTAATACCTTTCATTATGGCAACTTCAACAGCTAAAAAAAAATAAAAAAATAAAGGAATAAAGAAATGTAAATATAAATATAATATAAAAATAATATGAATATAGATAAATTAAAATCATTTTTAATGGATACATACAAGTTTCAGATATCAATTTTCCAATTCTACCACTATTTTTAAACCAAGGATCACCTTCTATTATTTCAATCCAACCATCATATTTTAAAACTCTAACCATATCTTTGATTAACTGAGACCATTGAGATTCAGTAAGAGCACAACACATCATACTCAAATGAACATAATCAAAAGTTTCAGGAGGGAATGGAATTCCATGAGTTATATTGCATGCAAGAAAACCGACATTTGAAGGATGCATATTATCAGAAGGAAATTGAGTAGAACCTAGATCAATTCCAACGAATGTTGAAGACGAATAATCCAAACCCATGTCAACCACCCAAAAACCTGCACCACATCTTTTTTTTTTAAAAAAAATGGTATCGTAAATATTTATGATTTGATGAAGTAAAAGTTTATAAAAAAAATATATATATATATATATTGATATATTGATATAGTATATTTACCCGATATCAAGTACAGTGGCACCCGCCTTCAACTTTTTCTCTACTGGTGAACAATAGTTTCCTCCAAATAAATGCTTTCTTATCGTATAAGAAATAGCTTCCCTTTCAACTTCTTTCTTGTCGGATGGTAGTATATACTTTGTTTCATCATCTTTAAGGAATGTTCTTTCGTTAAACATTTTATATATACTAGATTTTAAAAAACATGCAAAATCATCATCATCATCATCATCATCATCAGTATAATTCCATAGAGCTGATTTCCTTGGAACAGTAGATGATTCAGATGTGACGGATAGAAAATTATTTTTATTAGACTCCATTAATATTGCAATAATATTTACAAATGTCTTTTTTTTTTTTGAAAAGTGAAACTTTAAAGAAATTTGCGGTGTTTAAAGTTTATTTCTATGGTTACACGGATATTATAATTTAAAAGAGAGGATTCTGTGTACGTAAATTTAATAACGATAATAAATATTTAGATAACAACATTATTTATACGTACGGTAAACAGTAAAGAGCATATTTAGGGAAAATAAGTGTAACAGTAATATTAAATTAATAATATAGAATGTAAAATGAAAAATGTTTTTAAATTTTGTCAATGCCGCCAAAATTTTGTACATCCGTGCGACCCGAAAATAATAATGCTAACCAGTTATGTAAATAAATTCCAATTTATCCGAGTTTGGAAATTTCATTTATCAATAAGTTTAAATTTTTAATGACATTTCTGTTTTGTAGCACATCATAACTATAAAGAACTGTCAGGAATAAAGAAAAAAAAATCAGATGAAAATCCAAAGGTTTGGCTACTTATTTCACTAATTCTCGGGTACGTAGTTTTATTTTGTTACCATTTATGTAAAAAAAGGTTGTATGTAACTAATTGAAACAAAAATACGTTTCAAACTTTAATAATATAAATCATTCTAATTTTATCGTTCTTAATACCGAATTCGGTTCAAACTTTTATCACAATTTAATCAAATACTTTCGTAAAGGAATCTGGATTGTCCTACATAATAGATGTACCAACTCCTCTAGTGTAATAAAAGTTAGTCAACAAAAGAGCTTATTTTTGTATCACATACTTAATCTATAGAAAGTTAGACAATTAATATATACAAATCCGAATAATAACCCTTTTTATTAATTAATTAATTATTAAAAACTGAATGTTTACTAATGAATTGTAGAATGAAGAGCAATTTATTTTGTGACTAGTTACGACATAAGCCGTAACAGTTTCTACTGCATCTTTACTGGCTCTACTGGCGATATCGCCATGAAAAAATGACGAGGAATAATTTCCTTAATGATTTTATTAACTATAAAAATAATTTCGTTAGGTATCATTAAAGTAAAGAGATGCGTACAACTAGAAATGATCACACATAGACCTAAAAGGTTTTTTTTTTTACTTTTTAATATTTTATTAGTTGGAAATATTCTTTGCGCGTGATATGAGGCCATACGGTGCAATTGGTGCGAAGATGATATCGTCATTATCGAGGTAGGTACGTACATGTACGTACGTCGTACATTTTAATTCCAAATAGAGTGATGATGATACATCACACGTCTGAAATGTGTTCCAGGTTTGTGGCGTAGCTTTTCAATCACTAAAGTTCATTGATGTTAGGGTTAGCGTTGATATTGGGGTTAAATGTTAGTAAATTATATAGTATATTGGGGTTAAATGTTAGTAAATTATATAGTAAAATTGCTCAAGGAAAACTTTTCGTTAGAGTACTAAAGGTGGTTGTTTCTTATTCATGTTATTGAGGAACAAGCGATTTTTGACAGAAGTTTGATCGTATCACGTTACATCTAATCCTGACATCTGACTTGTAGTTCACACGTTTCAGACGTTTCATATGACTATAATGTAACGAAGGTCCATTTTTTAAACAGTCAGCATTATGCAGAATAATCGTTATACAGATCTCGAAATTCAAAAAAAAAAAAAAAAAAACGAGGGAAAAAAACCGGGAACCTGCGTTCTAAACCTATCTTGATACACTAACAAAAGTGTCTAGAACTATCCTAATTATAACCATAACCAATATGCAGTATAATATATGCTATTGTCCATTATTTTATGTAATAAAACCAGTTATAGTAAATTCAATTCCGATATTTTTTAATATTGACAAAATTAAAATTAAGGGTTTGACGCCGATTTTCTATAATTTACTTAGAGAAAACCATGCGTTACTTTTACAGGTGACTGTACATGAATGCACAACATTGTGTGTCCGGAATTAAAGGGGTCAATTAAAAATATTTATGATTTGATTGTTAAATGATTTAGATACGTATATCAATGTTAAACTACATATTTGGTTGTGTGTTGTACATTTTTAGATATTCATGATCTTATTTGATATGCCTGTGATTATCCCATCGCCATGCATGAAATTCCTTCGAATTTTTTACAATTCGCGTAACCGTTTTTATTTGATGTGTTAACTTTGTCCATTGATAACTATTATATCAGTTTGAACTATCTACCGTATAGCACCACATGCCGCCAATTTCACAAATTTCAATCCCAACCTCATACATAATAAAATTCCAACACTTTTTCTAGTGGCTTACGGATTTACTAAATGTTAACCATAGCCATACATCATGGGAGATTCTGTTCAGGCCCTAAAATTTAAAACAACCCCAAAATTTAGATTATTTATGTTTATTTTACAGCAGAGACAGTGCCCGATCCAAAGTGAATCCCTCTCGCCTGTGATAAATCACACAAATTAAATTATTTATGTTGGATTCAATTGATATGTGTAACATTAACGGTCTCTGCTGTATGTTTATTTATGTTTTTAGTACTCCGACATACTGATGCATGATTTATTACAAGTATATAGATATCTTAAATTTTGGGGTGTGAACAGAATTTCCCGTGATGAGTTATTATATTTCAGCAACTAGTTAAGTGATAGTTGGCTCTAAGTAAAAATACTCACGCCTTCATCTTACTCTAGTTTTGACCTTAGCTATAAAATTTTTTTTACTCCAAAAAAAAAAAAAAACTTTTATATAATACAAATAATAAATATTATACATATATAAATATCATGGGTTTATAATAATTGATATCGTTGTGGAACCGATATTACTACAATACACAAAATATCACATTAATAGGGCCTATAATTAAATTTTAGTATCGTTTAACAGCTTAGAATTATTTCATAGTTCTGGGCCAATTTATGTTGATCATAGGGCAGAATCATTTTAATGCTGATTGAATTAAACGGTTAACAATCCTAACTCGATTATGTAATAGTTAATGATTTTGGTGATTAAACTTTCCTGGCGGAGGTGTAGGATTTAGTTGAGAAAAAATATGTATCTTTATTTCTTTAAAATAATCTTTACTAATCCATTAACTTCTTAAGTTTCTGTTGGAATTTCTTAAGTCAACAATGAAAAAGCTTGCATCAAGGATCGACATGATGACATAATCACGACACACTTAATCCGTGAAATTTCAGGGCCTGATTAGATAAGAGTTGCACGAAAGTTTAATTTATTAATTGAGTGCTTGAGGGAGGATAAGTTAGTCTTGACAAAAAATGCTGAGATCACTTGATTAGCGATCGCTTCCGAAAATGCTCGGAGTGCATAATTTGATAATGGTAACTTGTATTTATCGTTATTATCGTTATGACGTTACAATGATAATAATAGTATTGTGTACCATATTTATCGGTACGTCAAAGGTATTGGATATCTTGTGATCTTGAGGGAATCGGGTCGGTAAATAACTGAGTCATTTGCTTATTTTTCAATTACCCCAAAATAACATGTCATCTGAGTTATTTGTGTCATTTTGTCATTTATATAGTCAATTAACCCGAATGAAAAGTAATTTATTTCATTTATCACATTACAGGACTACATGCATTTTAACGTTTTAAGATCTTGTTTTATATTGGGTCGAAAGTAGGCATCAATGTATCTAATTGGATCGAAATTTTCCACATGTCAACGTTTTTGCATTTGTAGTACTTTGAATGAAATTATTACATGCATGTATAGGCAGTGTTGTACGCGAACGTTGTCCCATCAAAATTGCGTGGACACGGACAGTCCCAGACAGTGTCTCATGTCCGTGATGGTTGTTCCATGTCATATGGTTTATCGAACAACTTGATTGGCTAACACGGCTGTTCTTATTATAATTTTAATTGTCCGAGACAAAAAAATATTGCCGGACATGTCCGCTGTTCGCGTCCGTGTCCCATGACAACACTGTGTGAATAGGTGTATTGAACTTCATTTTTTTGAGTAACCTGATTTAAATTTAATCCTTATTTTCTGAATTTTTTAAATAATAATCATTGATTGTCAAAGATAATGAATGAATGAATTTGTTGAAACATTCTGTTTATAATTCTGTTTCTAGATTTACACACCAAATTTGCATAACTACCTTATCAAATATTATAGAGTTAAACGTAATGATAGTAATAATGCAAAAGTAACCTTAATTATGTCTAATCACATTTACTGCTTTTATCCAATTTTGATTGACTAAAGGCGTCTAATTAACAATTGGACAAGTATCAAATGACCTTGATAGATCATTCGACCCTTAGAATGACCTGTGACTAGTCATTTGAGTCATTTGGTTCATTGCAAATCATTTACCATCCCTACCGAGGAAGGATCTGTAAGTAAAAAATATATCATATGGAGAATTGTGATATCATGTGAATACAATCAATATTCTTAATACAACATATCAATACAGTTAATATCAACCTCGTTAATAGCAACCTCTCATTAATATCAACATCTCACTAAAAAAAGTAAGTTAGGTAATATAAAAACTATCTTTTTGTTATTAATCCTCGCATATATCAGCATAATTGTCCAATCCAAATAGTTGAAATTAACGAGGGTTGATTGTACTAATATTACCAGCATTGATATGTTATTACTAAAACGACCAGAACATTGATTAATTACATAATATCACAATTCTTCAAGGATAAGTTTTTACTTACAGGTTTTCCCTCTCAAATACTTAATTATAAAATTATTTGAGTAAGGTGTGAATTTTGTGTCATAAAGGACTTTTGTATTAATAGCCTTATTTGATTTGTTATTAAGATCTAGAAAGTTTTCTTTTTTTTGTCAACTATAATGTTTT